TTTTTTTAATATATTAATTTATTAAAAGTATTTAAATCTTTTAATTATCATTTCTAATATTTAAAGTGTTAAAATATCTTAATTTTCTATCATTTCTTTTTTTTATAATGTAAATATATTTATTCTTTTTATTTCTGGGCATTTATGTTAGTTGAATTATAAAAATTTCAATTAAAATAAAAAGAAATTATGAGTAGTGGTTAAATAATATTACCTATTTCTATTTCAGTGTGAGTATTTTTATATATAGATCAAATATAATCTATATTTGTGAACAAGACAAATTGGAGGAAGGAAGAAAAAGATCCGTAAGGTTTGAAGGTACAATCTATATGAGGTAATACTCATTTAATTAAGAGTCATGATCACCAAATCAAAAAATGAGGATCGAATATAATCTATATTTATTACTTAATTTCAAAACTTTCAGATATAGAACCACGGATGAGTCTTAAATAAGTAAAATGATTATCCCCTAAGTTTTTTTTTTTTTGTTTCCTACCCGGTATCCGGGGTTTCGTCCCGACTAATCCAGACTCGACCTGCGTTGTGCACCTGAAAATAGTGGGTGAGTTTCCTAGCGGGGACTGCTGCGTGCACAAGATCTCAAACTCGAGATCTTGCTTAAGCTGAAACAAACTGCTTACCACTTGATCCAACCCCTCGTTGGTGATTATCCCCTAAGTTACTCTAAAGAAAATAATCCTGAGTAAACGACTGTCCTCTTTTTGCTTTTTAAAATCTTGATGACTCGAATTAGTTTTTAAAGACTTGGAAGTCTTTTTGGTCTTAAGTCAACTTAATTAATTAGTGCCAAGCTGTAAGGACAGGGCCGAGGTGCCAAACCTCGGACTGCTACAGTAATTCCTTTATGACCGAAGTGAGGAATGAATCTGAAACTTCCCGCTCAAATAGCTGCATGATAATGACAATAAGCATGTCCACACCTGATTCCTTATGATGAGCGGCACAGCAGGAACGGTGGACACCCGTGCATCTGAATACCTCTCAAATTCCCGGTCCCGGAATAATCGTTTGGATAGACACGTTAGGCTCCGACTATCTTGCTTGGCATGCCACGTGGGTTCCTCATTGAATCCTATAAATACCCCCTCCGGGCCACGTCAAAAGGTAATTGAAACCTACCCTAAGCTCCTTTTATCTCCGCTCTAGAGGTAACCCCGATTATTGCTGACTTAAGCATCGGAGTGTCTACCCCGAGGTCCACCTCGGGGCTTTGCAGGTTATTCCGAAGTGTAGTTGCGGACTGTAGAAGGACTTCTGGTTCGTTGCAATTACATTGGCGCCGTCTGTGGGAAACGAATTGAAAGCTTTCTAGTTGCTCTTCCATTATGGTTCACACTCGATCAGTCCGAGCTGGTAATTCATCTCTGCCTCTTGGGCAAGGTCAACCTCCTAACAACCTTCCACCTCTGATCCCACCTCAAATCCCAACTCAACTTCCACCTCAGCTTCCACCTCAGGTCCCAGTTATGTTCCCTCCTGTTGATCATGCAGAAGGAGGAGATGAAAATCAACCTCATGCCTCAGCTCATAATTCAACTTCCACTGCCAATCAAGACGTAGTGGCAGCTTAGCTTGCTGCCATGCAGCAGCAGTTTGGTGTTTTTCAGTTGGTACTGGCTCAGCTTTTGGCTAGAGATAACCCTGGTGATCCTCTCATTAACTTACTGAACCCTGCTCCACAACCCCCAGCTCCACAACAGAATCCTCAACCAGTTCAACCTGCTCCCGCTATCAGCGAATCTCAGGCTCAATCCCACATTGCACCCGCTCAACAACCTATCCTTGATGATGTTACTCGCCGCCTCGATAGCTTGGAAAAGCTAGTAGCTGAACACCGAGGTGCTCCACCCCCACACCATGCTACTGATTCTATACCTCATCCTCTGAATACCAACATTACATTGGAACCCTATCCTGTTGGCTTCAAAATCCCACAACTGGAGACTTATGACGGGACGAAGGATCCCGATGACCACTTGCATGCTTTCTACTCTTGTATGCAAGCTCAGAACACCTCTGACGCGTTGATGTGCAAGATCTTCCCCTCTACTCTCCGAGGTAATGCCCGAACTTCGTATTACAGTTTACCTCCGAGGTCAATTAGCTCGTATACAGAAATGGCATCTGCCTTTGCCACTAAGTTTTCCAGTAGAAGGTTGATTAGGAAAACTACTTCTGAGTTGATGAGAGTTAAACAGAGGGATGGAGAATCTCTGAAGAACTATATGAGCAGGTTTAATGATGCAGTTTTGGAGGTTAGTTCTTTTGATCAAGCCGTGGGAATTGCAGCTGTGATCTCTGGTCTCAAGCATGACAGATTCCGAGACAGTTTGATCAAACATGCTGCCACCACCTTCAGCGAGGTGAATGATCGATCTCTCAAGTTTATAACCGCTGAGGGGTATGCCCTGGTGCAAAACCCACCCCCCTCTAAGAACCAGAACCCAGAATGGAGAGATGACAATCCGAGCCGGAAAAGGATGAGGATGGCGCAGAACCGAGGTCCGATGTTGACCTCCCCACCAAGATTCGGAAGGACGAACTCAACACCCCCGCAGCAATCTGTAGGTAAACCTCCAATTAATTGGACTCCCTTTAATCTGCCGAGGTCACAAATTTTTATGCAGATAAAGAACAAAATGGACTTGAGACGTCCTGGCCCAATGCGAACTGCTGCTACTAGTCGAGACCACACTAAATATTGTGATTTTCACCAAGATCACGGCCATACTACAGAGCAGTGCAACAGCTTAAAGTTCGAACTGGAAAGTTTAGCTCAGAAGGGAATGCTGAATGAGTATGTTTAGAGAGCTGAACAGCCAAGGTTTGTTAGAGAGCAGAGGCCGTAGCCTCAAGGAGTTCGCAATCCCCCAAATAGACAAGGTGTGGGATATCAGCAAGCCCCAACTTCAAATATGTCAACATAAGCTCAGTACCAACCCATTGAAGAAACTAGTGGCCCAGAAGCGGCGTCTCTTCGAGGGGGAGAGGCTTCAGGCTATCAAAGAAGAGGTGGAGAAGCTCCTACAGGCTGGTTTTGTCCGGAAAGTTGATTACTGCGAATGGGTGCCTAACCCAGTCCTGGTGAAAAAGGCAAATGGTAAATGGCGAATGTGTATTGATTATACAAACCTTAACAACGCCTGCCCTAAGGATTGCTATCCGATGCCGAGCATTGACAAATTAGTTGAAGCGGCTTCAGGCAATGAGAGGTTGAGCCTCTTGGATGCATATTCTGGGTATCACCAGGTGCCGATGGCTCCCGAAGACGAAGAAAAGACCTCGTTCTATGCTGGTGACGAGATTTATTGTTATGTCATGATGCCGTTCGGCTTAAAGAATGCAGGTGCTACTTATCAGAAAATGGTGACCATAGTCTTCCGAGCTCAGATTGGCAAGAATCTGGAGGTGTATGTGGATGACATTGTGGTAAAGAGTCTGAAGGCAGAAAACCATCTAGCCGACCTCGACGAAACCTTTACCAACCTCAGAAAGAACCGGATGCGGTTAAACCCAGCCAAGTGCATCTTCGGAGTGGAGTCTGGAAAGTTTCTAGGTTTCATGGTGTCCCGAAGAGGGATTGAGGTCAATCCAGAGAAGATCAGAGCAATTG